CTTCAGCTATAAATCTGTTCATATCTGCTATTTAATTGTATTAATCTTGTATGAACAATGACAAACTCCATCCCACATTCACTAAGAGTCAGTCATTTCCAAACACAATTAATATTAAAGATAGCTGAGGCATGGCTGAACAACCAAAGCACAGAATCATAAAGGCAGGAGTCCTTATACCATCCAGTACAGATCTTGTGCAGAAAGAGAGAATAATTCTCTGTTATCAGGTCACCATAGCTCCTGATATTACTGGCTCAGAAAAATGATTAGCCCATTGAACTAAAATTTATATTTAATTACAGCTTGAAAGAAAACCTTTATAAAATGATGTATCGTTGGTACTTGACCCCAGATAGACTAGCAAAAATGTATAAAGGGGTTTTAATAAGTATTGGAAATGTAGTCAAAATCCAGGATCATTTTATCAGAGATGGTGGTCTTGCAAATATGTGAAAATATATTGGATAAATATAATATTTAAGATACAAATATTAATTAAACATCATTTTTTATTTTAGGTATGATGGAGAAGCCAATTGAAAAACAATTTGGGGTGCTATTCCTTCACATCAGGGGTCCTCAAACTTTTTAAACAGGGGGCCAGTTCATTGTCCCTCAGATTGTTGGGGGGGGCAGACTATAATTTGAAAAAAAATAATGATTATAGAACAATGTAAAATCAAGTATAAAATGAAAAAATGAAACAAGAAAAATGAATTGGTTAATTATTTGAATGAGTTTTTAAGTGAAGAAAATATACAACATTTCCAGTGAATCCACACATGTTTTGTTTGGGAATGCAACTGCTAGTTTTTCCGCAAATAGTTTTTGAGTTGTGGGAAGATGGCAGAAGTTTTCCTTCCTCACTTGTTTAATGAGTATGTCCAATTTTACTTCAAATGCTTTCACATATGAATGCATATCACAGATGAGCTTCCCCTTTCCTTGAAGTTGCACATTGAAACTGTTGAGTAGCTCTGTTACATCTGTCAGAAAGGCAAGGTGCCATTTCCATTCAGCATTTCTTGCAGACATCTCATGACTCAAACTAGGTATTTATTTATTTATTTATTTATTAATTTAATTTATACCCCGCCCTTCTCCTCATGGGACTCAGGGCGGCTAACAGCCTCATAAAAACTACAATACAAATACAATAATTAAAAGCCGAATTAAAAGAAATATTTAAACAGGCCGATCAATTAAAATTATCCTTAAAAATCCCCTGAAACTTTAAAATCGTTAAAAATTA